TTAAAAAGAGTTGGGCTAAAAGTTCCTCTGACTGGCCGAGGTGGAGAGGTGGGAATATGCCACAATTTCCACATCAGCCAACAAGAGGAACCCTTGTATTAACTGATAAAAATGTAACCTACTCATGAATGGCAGAGAAACATTCAGCCCAACTCACTTAGACTGGAAATCACTTGTACTGCTGACGAAACACAGTGCCACTCACTGTATGTAATTAAAGTGGTTGTAAACCCTCACATATAACCAGCAAAATGACTGGCTTCAGGTGATACGCAGAGATGAAACAAATTCTCCTACATTAGTTGTACCTGTTTACCTACAGTCTTCTCTACATCTAAAGTGCTGAATTTATAAAGCTTGTCTAAAGAGTTCAGAAAGAAGGACAGCTAAAAAATTACACACTTCAGAGCTCAGTGAGGGGACACACCTCCATCCACACAGCTCACAGGAAAAGAACTGAGACTGTCAATCTGCCGGAGGTCCCTCCCGTCATCATTTTTCTTTTGGTGTCAGGAAAACTTGTCAGAAGTGATTCATGCTGATTGCAGAGGAATGAAGCAGCAGACAGAAATAACACTTAATGCTCTTAATTGAGTACACACTATATAGGGATATGTTTTTTTGATATTTCATGACTGAGGTTGTAAACCTCAGTCATGAAATATCAAAAAAACATATACAACCACTTTAATGCTATTATAGTATATTTACATCACACATAATGGCCGCATTGCTTAGCAATGGAAACAGGTTGTTTGGGCCAGCTTGGCCCACAAATACTTTGTAAAGTGCATTGAAACCTGGAATTCTACATTAAACAAAAATTCCAATCAGTCACTATAAACACAGCTCTACTTGTGCATGCTTTGTTTTCTCCAGTTTTCATGAATAGGCCTGAGGATACAGCACAACTTTTATGTACAACTATTACACAAATTTTGCAGGAAATTGGTCTTTAAAGAAGAACGCCAGCAAAAGTCATTTATATGCTAACATGCAAAGTAAATTCTCTGCCAAATATCAAAAAGTTCTAAGCCCTTCAGACCTAAAACACATGCTATATATATGGGGTGCACTTTTTAATAGTCATTGTAACAGTCATTGAATAGTGTAACAGCTTTCCCTGCGTGGGCAGCTGCTCCTCTTGTTCAGGCCTGGTGAGTCCTTGCTGCCAACCTGTGTGTGCCAGACTCAGCAGTACCCTACAGGCCAGGAAAGAGGTGCTACAGGCACATAACATGTACTCAAGTACCTGCACTCTCCAACTGCATATTGGTCAACAGGGATAACAACAAAGCACATGATAGTTACATTTTAAATGATGTAGTAAGTACACTGGTCTTTTGGCTGCTAATGTAATTTTAGTTCTTAAACTTATGCAGTCTATAGACGGTTTTATCAGCCGAATTTCGTCCGAAAGAATAATCGCCTGATTATTCGCGCCTTTAGTGGGGCAATGTCATTGGCCGATTTTTGCGGTTCCTCCTCATTTCTTTGATCGCTCATGCTGGAAAATTTACGAAAAAAACGGCCAATTTTCGTAATCATTGGTGGCAACAGAACGACCAATGTTTCGTTTTTCAGCTGAAAATTCGGCCGAAAAAACAAACCGTCTATGGCCTGCATAAGACACAATGGACTTGAACTTTGACATACAGGGAAGTCTGCATTTTCTGGGGCACATCTCCTATTCTCACCTGAGTCGGAGTAATATGATCATAACACTGTAATAGGCTGATATTCAAATGGCTGGCAAGTCTTTTACATTACTTTTGGGGAATATGAATATTCCTAATTACCTTTTTTTAAAGGACAGCTAATTTTGAAGAAAAGATGGCACTCCTGCATACATGTCAGTTAGTAAAACCTTAAACATTCAAAAATATAAGAGTGTAACAGAAATGTAGGCATCTTTTTATTAAAAAAATAAGTGAGTTCAGTAGATTCTGAAATGCTTAGCGCTAGTAGAGATGCTTTTTCAACAAGCTCTCGCTCTTTTTTTTTTCTTTTTTTACAAAACATCCATTAACTGATCACCAATCACATGATGTGATCTATTCCTGCAGTTTCAAGATTTCAGATTTTATTTATATTTGTGATATATACCTTATATAAATGTGATATATACCTTATATAAATGTGTGTGGCTAAATATTTGCAAGGTAAAATAATAATTAATAACTGTTTTCACCTACTATCATTTAGGATTGCAATTTCCTTCACCTAAAGTCCTTCAAAGACACACTTCAAGCATTCGATACATATTTTCTTAGGCCCCTTTTATGGATTTGATCCGATTATGCCCGCTTGTTAGTTTTTCAGGCAGATCTGATCAGAAGGTCTATGCATTCATATGGGCAGGCGGGTGTAAATGGACTAGTATCCGTTTACACCCACCTATTTTCGGGTCTGATCAGGTCTGCAAAATAACCCCCAAAAAACCGAAGGGGATCAGCTTTCTTCAGCTTAGATGAATCAGATCAGAGGGTAGTCAGGTGTAAACGGACAGCGGAGTCTATTTACTCCCAGTCGCTTATAAAGCAGAGCAGGCTCCATTGGTGTCCGCTCTGCAGAAACAGAGTAGACATGGATGTGTCATCTACCTGCTCTGCTCCAATCAGCATGGGATCTGTGCGCAGATCCCCTTGCTGATTGGAACGGAATCTGCCCCATGTGAAAGGGGCCTTATGGTTTAAAGTGTCTAGGGGAGATAAAAAAAAATAAAAAAATCCCCCTAAACAATACAGGCATGTTTCCCATGATGTGGCCTCTAAAAATGCTGCATGTCCAGAAAAATGCCTGTTGGTCCTGTGCACTTTTTACCCTACTGCACTCAAATCCCAAATATTTTTTATCAGTCTGAGCAAAAAAAGAACACCCCTCCCATGTTATGGAGATGAGGTCAGGTGGAAGTGTTCTACTTCCTGTTCTAGGGTAACAATGCTGCACCTCCACAGATACAGTACAGAGAGTGAGCGTTGTCACCCTAAGACAGGAAGTGTGTTACTGGCAGGAACACAAGGTGAAAATAAAACCAAAACAGCTTAAAAAATAAAGCTACTGCAGCCACCACATCTAAGAACTGGTAAGCTGAAAAATACAATTTTGGTTCTTGGGGGTTAGATACACTTTAACAAACAAGCATTTGTTAGAAACTCATTTGCCATTGTTGCATAGAGAAGCAATTCCTATCAGATTAAAAAAAAAAGAAAATCATAGGTAGCAAAGGGTCTAAGGTCAGTGCTGCGGTGCTTCCAACCTCCCACACCTTGCCCTCATCATCCTTCCAAACTGTCATTTACACTTGACAGCAATGTGCCTATTTCTGATCACAGAGATAGCAATAAAGGTAAGGTGTTTTTTTTTTTTTTTATCTCATGCGGTTTTGTGATCAGCACAAATGAATGAGTATTTAATGGACTACTGGAAGCTTTAGACTACAACCACCCAAGCCTGTCATTTATCAGTGGGTCTAAAGTGTCTGAGAGTATGTGCGGGTTGGTGTATGCTTCTGAGGATTGCTTATGACATTTTTTTTTTTTTAACTGAACAGACATTCTTCAGCTGTCTTCCAGTGCTGTTCTAATGAAATATTAGTATTCTACTGAGCTTGTAAAAACTTTCATATGTGGTATGTTAGGTATAGCCAGGGCAGGCTTTCACGTCCTGCCCAGCATGCACTATTGGGGAGGAGAAAGGGAAGAAAGTAGCAGCATGGGGCTGCAGAGTAAACCCCATTAACCCCTTTGCATGCGGTCAGTGGTGCACTCTATGCTATTAAAAATCTTGTACAGAAAACCTGTTGTGTTTGTGCCTAGTTTTCCATGTTTTCTTTTGTACCTGTCCTGGGGCATTTTATTACCCTAGGATTACAACCAAATTATTTAAAATAGTTGTAAAGGCTGCAGGTTTTCTACCTTCATGCAACCTATGCATGAAGGTAAAAAAACCTTCTGTGTGCAGCAGTGTCCCCAGCCCCCTCAATACTTACCTAAGCCTCATCTCGATCCAGCGATGTGAATGACAGCCTCGGCTGTCCCGGGTCTCTGCCTCCTCATTGGCTGAGACAGCAAATGGGAGCCATTGGCTCCCACTGCTGTCAATCACAGCCAGTCAGCCAATGAGGGAAGAGAGGAGGTGGGGCCAAGCCGCGGCTGTGTGTGTGTGAATGGACATACGGAGCAGCGGGTGCCCTCATAGCAAACTGCCTGCTGTGGGGGCACCCGACAGCAGGGAGGGGCCAGGAGAGCCTGAGGGGGATCCAAGCTGCTCTGTGCAAAACCACTGCACACAGTAGGTAAGTATAACATGTTTGCTATTTTCCAAAACAAACAAAAAAAAAAACGAACCTTTAGAATCGCTTTAAGCCCCAGTTCACATATATGCAAATTGCATGCATTTTGCAGTGCATCCTATTCGCATGACGTGAACTTGCAGCCTTTTCAACGGCACCAATTCACATATGTGCGGGCTGGCTGCGGCGCATTTTCAATAACAGTTCGGAACAAATTTGAGCCAGGTTCAGGTGCGACCTCAGGTGCAACCTCATACACTTCGCACGTGAACTGCTGAACAAAGTTGCACCGGAGGGGGCTGAAACTGCTCTGTCAAAACCAGCCCACACATATGTGAACCCTAAATCTAGCCCTAGCTGAAAGAGGACAACAAATATTTACTGTCCTGATGAACCAGCATACTATATATTGAATATGTTCCATTCTTCATGTGATTGTTGCATTTTAATCAACGGTATGGGCTACAAGCTATATTCTGCTGCAGTCAAAACATTTTGCTTATAGCAAAAGAGTTAAAACACTGATTAATTAGAACACGCACATTGTAGGAAAAACATAAAAAAGAAAATAATGACAGCATTTAAGACAGCTTCTGAATACATGACCTAGATTGTCATTAGCTATATACATAGTGAATAGACCTACATTTCCCTTTGAAGATATGTGTTTTCAAATCTAGTTTTTACAGAAAAAAAAGGCGACATACTAGTTTAGAATGGCTGAGGGAAGCGAAGGGCGCTTTGTCTGAACTATCTTTTGTTTTGGTCCCTTCATGTCATCTTCATCTTCCTCAGTTTCACTTTCGCATACGTGAACAACTACACTAGGAGTGGACTCAGTCCCTGCATGTAGCTCATACTTCTCTCCTAGGAAGAAACAAAAGAGATGAATGCAACATAGTAATGGTCTACAACAAAAATTATTATTATTATTACACAGTATTTATATAGCGCCAACAGTTCGCTCAGCGCTGTACATTACAATGGGAGACAATACACGAGACAGTACAATAACAATACAATGCGATACACGAGGGGTTTGAGGGCCCTGCTCCTTGGAGCTTACAATCTAGGAGATAATAAGGGCTTCTTTATACAGAAGACATATACAATAAAGACTCACATAGGCAATACCTATGCATACATGCTTGCAAAGGGCCGTTCATACCTGCATGGGAAGCACAGGTTTTCCATGCACCCACATGCAGGCAGTCCCATTCATACCTACTGGGATGCTGTAGCTGCACAGACACAGTCACTGGTCCTAATTTGACAGCCATGCGGGTGTGTGTGCCTGAACGCAGTGCGCTTGCTCGCCCCAAAGAAATGGTCACCATGCTGCAACACACATATATGAGAGCTTGGTTGTTTCACGTTACTTAATGCAACACCTGTGGCCATTTACACTGTACAGTTATTATATTTTTAATTATTATAAATACTTTTACAGCACCAATGTACGCAGCGCTTTACATACTGTACATTCACACATGCATTCATACACATACTAAGGGCAATTTAGACAGGAGCCAATTAGCCTTCCAAGCATATCTTTGGAGTTTGAGAAGAAACCCGGAGGAAACCTACACAATCTCAGGAATAAAAAAAATTTAGCTGCACCACAGTGCACTGCACATCGGTGTTGTGTGTGTGTGTACAGTAACAGCCGAGAAAGTTGGTTTGCATTTCACACACAACAAACCATCAAATTAATTAAAAACACACATTTGAGTAGCTTTTTATCCCCGCTCATGCACCTATTATACACAGTCCAGATAGGCCACATTCACAATCAAATTATTCACCACTACCAAGCATTATGAAAAGGGTAAGTCCACCCAAACTTCACATATTAGGTTTTTTAATAGATGCAAGAGAATTAAAGCGTTACAAAATCCAGGAGTTTGCATTCATTCTGGTCTCCTACAGTACACAGAAAATGGAAGTGTAATTATTTTAGTACCTATAAACTGCTAAATACCTTTTCTCATCAGCAGTATATAGCAGTCTTGTGACTTCTATCAGTGTTCAGTTGAGCACTGGTTAAAGCTTGTAGGAGGAGTTTTTATTCTGCTCTGACTGTCCTATGAGGCTGCATAACCCCTGACCCTCTCTCTGGGCAGTGCTGATTGGCCCAGTGCTGATTACATGCACCTTCCCAAAGAAAAGAAAAATTTAGAAATACACACTAAACTGAGCATGTGCTGAGTGACTCCTAGAACTCTGTACTATCAGCAAATGCATTGGAGACTGTGGAAGAAAGGGAGGGTCAGAGAAGACAGGGTCAAACAGCTTTTTTGCACAATGCAGAGGATTAACTCCTTAGGTTCCACAGTGAGTATAACAAGCGTGCTTTACTGCATATACAGATGATTTTACTGATGTGGGCCTAGTAACATTTTAAGCCTCCTGAAAATGTCCTATATTTCTCACACACTCTATTGGTGAGGTTTCTGAGTTTATGGTTCCAGGTTTGTACACCTATGGCCATAACGAGGGGGGTCCCACTCTATCTGATGGATTTTTTTTTTAATCTAATTAGTTTTATGCAAAAAAAAATCTTGGAGGACACAAAGGTGGGAAGCAACACCTGAAACTCCCAGGTAGACAGGAGCGGAGTTGGATTTTTTTGCAGGCAGATTTCTACCTATAACTGTAATATCACTTTTAAGACAAATCCTCTAACAGGAAATTAAAAAACAAATGTCATGATCTTGCAAAATTTTCTGGTAAAACCCAGATTACGTAATAACCGAAGCTTATTTCCAAACTAGCTCGATCTCGGAAGTAAATAGAGGAACCAAATATTATGTATGTAATAAAGGGATTAAATAGACCATAATCACATTCTTATCTTGTAAAGACAGAAGCAATATATTTTACAGGTCTTACTCAAACAAGCAATGTTAATTTAAGGTGCATAGTAGAAAAACTATTATTTAATGTTTACAACATATGTACAACATGTACGGAAACATTTATCAACCACCCAATTAGCTGTATCTACTGAAAAAGTGGTTACAGTTTATAAAACATTTTCAACTTATTTCGGTATCAAAACATAAGTTTAACCAGTACTACTGAGAAGTCTTAAAGATTTAAAGTGTATCTCCTTCAAAAACATACTAAATATGTGAAATTTTGAAAATGGAGAGGGCGTTGATTTGAGTAAATTGTCATGTTCAGCAAGGTTTTGTTTTTCTCTTTATAGCCTTAAAATGGTATGAAACCCAAAACTTAAACATTTAATATATTGCAGCTTTCCAATCAATAGACTGCATTCTTTTTTTCCCCCTCTATTTTCACCTGTTGATCTAGCCAGTAACATACCTCCTGTATTAGAGTGCCCCCACTTGGGGGAGTGGAGTCTTAGTACCAGCAAATTTAAACACACTAACTAATTGAATCCAAACTCCAGCTAACACTTTATAAGCAGTTACAGTTATGTTCCTTTTGGGGTAAATGTTTGACATATATACATAAAAGCTGAGCATTTGCAGGACAGTTTGTTCTTTTGAAAAAAACAGACTTACTGGCCAGTTCACCAAATAAAAAAAAAAAGAAAGAAAGCCTAAAAAATTAAAATAAATCAGCAATCACATCTATGAATTGGTAAGCTGCAATATAACAAATATTTACTTTTGGGTTTAATATGGATTTACGCACTTGCAGGAATGTTTAGGTCCCTACCCGATTGCTCCTTTAGCCCCAACACCTACAAGGTGGTATTCAAATCTCTACTTCTGCAAAAAAAAAAAAATCAAAGATGGCCATGAACCTTCCCACTCATTGTATCTCTCAATTGGCCAGTGGGACAACCTACTGTGATAAGGCCATCATTGCGCATGGCAAAGAGGTGGTGCAAAATTAAGTTTGACTCCTAGTACACCAAGCATTATAGAGGGTATCACTTACAGTATCCTCTCTAAAAATCATTCCAAAGCAAGGCTCATTCATCATTTATTACGACATGGGAAAGGGAGCTGAACACTACACCAAATTCTTTCTCCTCCATCACAACGCTATTCCCAAACAAAATTGATTATAAGACACCTCATAAAATTATGTCAAGGCCTACATCTCTGCCCTTTGGCGAGAAGACCTCTTTCCGTCCATTCAGATGTGGCTTAATAAGGCATAAAACCTAAAAAGGATGGAGAAATAAATCCACTCATAAACAAACACCTTGGATACCTTTCATAAAATATAGTGACCATGGCACAGGTTCATATTCTCAGAGGAAAGGAAAGCTGGAGCTGAATGAACATTGATTGCCCATTCCAGCAAATGCGCAACCCTCCTATTATACTGTTATTATCTAACGCTTACTCCTCTGAGTGACCTAACCCCCCCCCCCCCCCCTTTTATTTCCATTGCCCCATTTCTCCCTCCCTCTTTATTTGCTTGAGTGTTGAAAATACCAGCTCTAGGACAACCCCCAGATGGTCCCCCCTTCCCCAGTTTATAACCCAACTCCCAAATTAATTGTTTTGCTTTAAAACACAACTGTACTGGATGTACTTGGATTGCAAGTATATATATTTCTACATAGATGTATATATTGTTAGCTTTAATCGCAAAAAAAATTACTGATATAGATATATATATATATATATATATGTGTCATTTTTTTGCAATTAAAGCTAACCATATATACATCTATGTAGAAATGATATGACAAACTGCTTGATTGGACACAGTTATTGCTTACTTGTATAATATTTACTAGGCTACTTTCTACTGATGTATATGGGACTTTGTTTACTCATAAATAAAGAATTCGAAAAAAAAAGAAAGCTCTTCCTATGCTTGTCCTTTTCCAAACAACTGCAAACTCAGCCCCAGATAAGACTCAAGACTCTAACACTACTTAGAAAGTTTTAGCATCTCTGTATACTAGTGGCTAAATCGTGTACTCTACGTAATTGGCTACTACCTAACCCTTCTAAAACAAAAAACTTTATACATACTATAAATTTATCCACATACTGTAGATAAACTAGACTGGAAAAACACAAATTAACAGCTTGTCTCAGTTTTTAAGAATTCCGTATGGTATAACACAAAAAACCTTGCAGGGACCATCATTGCCGTAGATATAGATGATGATTAATTAGCAACTGAAGTGTCACACAGTAATATACAAGTCCACACGCTTTGAAAAAGTTTTTTCAAATAGTAGCATGTATCCAAAGCCAACATGTTGTTTTATGGGCTGTATTTCTGACCCCTTCATCAGACTTTGCCCAGAATTAAACAGTGTATGTGGACTCAAAAATCAATCTTAATAGTTCAATAATGTTGATGCGAGCTTGTACAGTAATCCATCATCAGCTGGTTCAAGCGGTCACTAAAACCAGGTGATGACAGATTGCTATGCAAACTCATAAAAAACAATATCCAACTATGGATTGATGAAGAGATGGAGCCACTGACTCTTAGGAAGTCCCTTACCAATTGTCCCATGTGTCCCACGCCATCAGCAAACCCCCACCATATACCTGACACCCACCATAAAACTTTATCTACTCACCCTGTTTAGCTCTCGGATATCATGGTTTCTACTATTTAACCTTGTATTTTGTGTTTTACACACTGTTTACCATCAATCCAGATTGAGATCTGCTTACGATTGCATTTAAATGTGTAAAAAAAACCCAAAAAAAAACCACAAAATAAAAACAAAGAACTGAGCCTGTCCTATAGTATCACTAGGAATGATGTCATGTATGTGCATACCCCTACTTCTATGTCTTTTAGGTATGTCTTTCTGTACCTTTGCTATGTAAACATTTCCTTCAATAGTAAAAAAAAAAATTACAAAAATGGACTGGGTTGTATGCATTTTTTATCTATGACGACGTACCTGGGCCCAGCTTTGACACAGCACACAGAAGATCATAGTTGATCACTGGAGTTGGGTCTTCACTTTGCTTCCATCCTACTGGTGGAGATGCTGGAGGGGAGATTAGAAACTGCTTCACTGGCTGTGGAGGCAACAGAAAAGACTTCTCTCCTTCCTCATTAGACACCTGGGCCTGAAGGAAGGAAGAAGAGTTGCTTACACAAGCAATAATAATACAAGTTTATAATTACTAGGCTTTTAAGGGAAAGGATAGTTTTGGATAGAGAAGGGAAGGTAAAAAAAATCATCTTGGTTAAATTTCTGCTGCTTAAGTTCCATTGGGGAAATGTCCCCTTCACTTCTGTCTTATAAATGCAAAATGATATTAGAGAGAATCTCCCAAAGTGAGGGGAATTCCCCTCTTGTAAAGTTGTCCCCAGGTCAGGTATCACCATTGGACGATTTTCCCTCACCTCTTGTTCTGGGGACAACGCTAAAATTTTAATTTTCCCCTCACTTTCTTTTCCTACAATAGTGGTCACCAGGACAAATACAGGAGTGAAGCTCCTCAATAGGGACACATACAGCATTAAAAATTTGACAGAGGGTCTAAAACTACACTGCTCTATCTAAACCTAGAAAAAAGTAAAAATACACTTTAAATTAATTTCTGCCCTTTGGAGGGACTAAATGACACAGAGTTTGAGTAGTTAACATTTTTTTATGTTTAAAAAATAAAATTCCTATTTCAAAGAGGGGTCAAAAGAGTTTTTCATGACATATACTCTTTGGGGAATTTTTGTTTTAATGGCCTGAAAAAAAGTCTCTTAGTACTGGACTAGGGCATATGCCCCTCTTTGATGACCCCTGCATACTTGTTTAGCAAATCCTTCTCTGATACATCAATGTAGAATAAAGCCGTGAACAGCTAAAGAACTCCTATTGTTTTACATGGCTCCCTTCATATATAATAGTCCCCACAGAACAGCACTGTATCTTAAAGTAAGCAACTGAGCTTTGACTAAGCGGGGCAAAGCAAAGGTTTGCTTTAATGTCCCCCTCCTCAGCAAGAGGTGTCTGCAGTATTCCTTTACAACAGACCCTTCAGGAAAAAAAACTCAGTACTTCCACGTATGGAAAAACTGAATAATTCCTTCTCACAGGTAAATGACCCTCTGCTGTCACATGGGGGGAGACTTTCTTTGACTGGAGGGACCTGGAACCAAGGGGTGGGGGGGAAAAAGTAAAAAAGGAGTATGTGCAGCTGGGGAGAGGAGCATTAAACTAAACCTGTGCTTTTGAAAGACCAGTTTAATGTTTGCTTAAACATAAAATGCAAATATTTCAATCCTGCTTTCCATCAATGCATAGATTTCATCCAAATAAATCTCAACATGCAAAGCAATTTGTAGAAACTAAACATGCATACTTTCCCAGTCAGAATAAATTCACTGAACTGCTATTTCAAAAGTACGTGGATGTTGGTGGCTTTAATCAAGAGCTCACTGACTTACTTCTCCTCTGGGTTCCCCCCATGCTGCCTAGAAGAGGGTGGCAGTCTTCTTCCGATGAGATCTGGGGAATGTAGAGTAGCCCAAACATTGCTGAGAAGATGCTACCAGCGCTGTGCTACATCATTATCTCACAAGGCTTGGAGTACTCTCCATTCCCTGTAGGAAAATGGAGTAAGATACTTTTCTTCCCATACAGGAGTCTTTATTACATTTTTAGTTAGTACTACTGCAAACAGGGTTCGATTTTATCTTGACTTGGCCAGGTCAGAACTAGAGGCTTTAGGCTGAGCCTAGGATTCAAGGGGATTTCAAGGCATTGGGTTGAAGACCAACACAATTACTTGCTGAGCATTGTTGGAAAGAATTTTAGCTAAGTCAAATTCACTTTTAAAGGCAATTTCATGCTAATCGATTGGGAACTAGGAAAACCTGGGAAAATAATATTTTCCCATTATTTTTATGATATGAATGAATGTACTCCAAGAAAAAAAATACTTTAACAATGTGGCAGCCTACATAGTTTTGAGCAGTTAAATTACGGATAAAGATTTTATAAGATATACATATATTCATACTACTAAAGCACCCTAATCAATGGGCAAACATATACATTTACAGTTATAATCCAGCGGGTTCACAGCTGGGTCTGCTGATGAGGACACATAAATCCAGCAGTCCCCTCCCCCCTTCTTTATGCGATCTTGCATTTAGGCATTTGGCCTTGTTATGTAAACTTAAATAAAAACACATTTTCAGTATTTGCTTCATGAGAGAATGATGATGTAACAAACTATGTCAATTAAAATTTGTAATCAATGTCATAAAATATGGAGCATTTTTCATGCAGTCAGAAATATCAAAAGCCTGAAAAATATAATGGAAACTATGTTGATTTCATGCCACAGTATAATTATCTAGGACAGTACATGCTGATCTGTGCCACAGCTCTGTGAACTATACATGATATGTAGACCACCTATGGAAAAACAGAGCTCTATTTACATCACTGAATACAAAGCTAGTTAAACAAATATACAATCTCTCCTTTGTATACTTTTCTCACCATCACAAAGTCACTTCAAACAGTCAACATTTCCTAGACATAGGCTACATTTTACTACATATGTCAACCACATTGAGCATGTTATTAATACAAATGTACATTAAGTAAAGCGGTAGTATAGGAGTAATTATACATAATGTGATCAGCAATTCTTAATACCTACAATCACCACTTTAAGCAAATAAAAAGATCCAAAAGCAAAATAAAGCCAAGCAATCCTCTGCTGCCACTGTTTTTGTAAAGTTCACAGCAAATGTCTGCCCAGCAAAGCTTTGATGTGTTTTGTGTGTTATTAGGGTTTTATAGCTAGGCTCTAGCGCCTTAATGACAGCCAGATTCTGTTGGCTCAACATCTGATGTAAGATTTGCGTGCACTTATGTGTCTTAAGTATCAGCTGTTTCTGTCCTCTCTGAAAATACAAGGTTTAGTGTATATGCATGATGTGGTCAGACATGTGCATGATGATGTAGTTGCGCTTGCATGATTATAGCTGTTCAGACTAGGATCAATCTAGGATTAGACAGAGATCAGTCTCCTAAACTGGGTAGATGAAGTGCTAGATACACTGGATCTAGCTTTATATTTGTATCTAAAGCCAGTCTTTAAAAGAGAAGTGAAGGGTTAGAGCCTCGGTAATTTATTGCAGTCCATGTCCCCAGTGAGAAAATTCATTTGTCCTGATGACCACTATCATGTAATTGGAAATCCAAAATTTTACACTTTCCACCAGATCAGGAAAAAAAAAAAAAATCTTCCAATGGGAATACCTGTTCCTTCCAGTGACAACTGTACAGTAGAGACTCTCTCACTTAAGAGATTTTCTCTCTTAGGCAAGCCATAGATGATGCGATTTTCTCTCCTGGAAAAAAATATTGCTCGATTCCCCCATCAACACAGTCAGTGTTGATGGGGGAATCCCTCCTGCAGCACTATTGTGTTTTGACAATGGAGAGCCTTCTGTGCTGGCAGAACACAATTACTGCTGGTGGCTATATCCACCGGCAGCAATCACACGCAAGAAAAATGATAGGCTGGTTGTCCTGAAATCCATCGATGGATCAACTTCAGTACAACCAGCTTGTTCATAGAAGGATCAAATCTCGTCTGGTCTCTGCTGAACCAGCCAAGATTCAATCCATCAATGGCCAGCTTAACTTTGTGCTCTTTCTACAGCCCCATACACATAGGCTGAAAATCTGTGGAAATCAGCTGGTACATTAGATACCAGCTGACATTTGGCCTGTGTGCACAAGTCCTAATTTGACAGAAGCCGATCATTCTGCCGGCCAATGGCTGTGAGTACTGACTGGTGTGTTCTGGTGAGGGAACAGTCCCCCTGTCAGAGCACAATAGTTCAGCGGTAAGATCACTGCACTAACATTGCATCATTAGTACAGTGACCTCCTCCTGAGTTTCTCAGTTTTTTTTCCCATTCAGCCTGTGAGGGTGAACGGAAAAAAAAAAAAAAAAAAAACGTACCGTGTGTACCAGGCTTAAGAGACTGGAAATAAAGGGGACCCTGTCCAGATGCAACACAGTCTGCTAAAACACAATATTAAAGCAGCTTTAACCCTTCACGACTCCAAACCAAAAATTAAAAACCTGATATTCCACAAAGGCACCCTGATTTTCTTCACGTAAGGTACAGCTTAAATAATTTTTCATAATGCACAAATTGGATTCCAGTGAGTATAATGCTGTAAAGAAGGAACGAAGTGGAGACACAAACTGGCTCCTCTATTATGGAAAGATTTAGGTTTTTTTTTTAAAAATATATATTTAAGGTATTTTCAAGTCCTGCGTGTCATGCCATTGCCTGTTGCCAAGGCAGTATCTGGCATGGTAACATTGGGTATGATAGGTATAGCCATTATTTAACATCTTACAGCTATATTACAAGTGGCATCAAACTTTCAAACAATCTATCCACCTCAGAGCTACCATAAGAACATGGGAATGTGAAGAAATCCACCTTTATGTTACAGTAGAAAGGGATTAATATCACCTCACGTAAATACACTACAACCTTTATGTAGATAAAACCAGTATCTATTTTCTGCTCGCTCCTCCCTTAAAATACTCAGTAATTTATGCTGCAAACACATATTTTAAGGCACCACATTAATGTCACTGATGATTATAGTTACAAAAAGGCTGCTTTCAGGATATGAAGCAGGAAAAAACAGCATCTCAGCATGCACAAGGCAAGGCTTTAGAAATGGTAAGGCAAACTTATTGTTGAGGCTATAGATAAAGCCTTAATGGTTTTGAACAGGAGCCATTGTTGGGTGTGACGTTCCAGCTCTTAATTCACCAAAACAGATATGCTATCTTTACTTCAACATCAATGATAATGTATGATGGTGCTATGAGAGCATAAGGCAAAGTATGACAACTATGTAATATCACACCCAAAAATTGTACTAGCCATGCATTTTCATGTGCAAGGAAGATAGGAGATATAGTGCAATTCAAATGAATGCATTAAACTCACCTGGGGTGACAACAGCCACTTCACTCATTACCCGTGTATTTCCATTTGTTGTTCACCACCTGTACATGTACGGGCAGTGGCACTTAGTGGTAATATTCGAAAATCATACATTATTCAAAAG